AGGAGAACGGAGAGCGGCGGCTGGTGGCCGCCCAGAAGAAGAAGGTGCTGAAGCTGGGCCCGCTCAAGCGCAAGGACACCAAGAAGATGGTGCTGCACATGAGGAATGCGGGCACCTGCCCCTGCCCCCAGCTTGACAGCCTCAGCGGCAGCTTCCTGGTGATGGGCCGCAAGGTGGGCGGCCGCCTGCTCCTCCTCGCTGTCTACCCCTGGCAGAAGCACAACAAGGAGATGAAGTTTGCCGTCAAGTTCATGTTCTCCTACCCCTGCCCCCTCTACCACCCCCTGCTCTATGGGGCTGGGCAGCACTAGGGTTCTGCCCATCCTGCCCTGTCCTACGACTCCTGCACTGGCCTGATGCTACAACCCAGGACCCCAACTCTACTCCCCGCATCCCCTTGGTTGTGCCCCAGGACCCTATTCTGCACCCTCAGGATTCCCAGCTGCATTCATGGGAGCCTTGATCCACAGCCAGGACTCCTACCCCATCCTGAGAGCCCTGCTCTGTACCACTGGGACCCCTGTTCTGCTCTCAGAACCCCTGCCCACACCCTTGGCTACTCCCAAGCCCCCTGCCCAGCACACCAGGGACCCTTGCCTGCACTTAGGATCCCTGCTTGGCCCTCTTGGGACCCCTTGGCTGCACCTGAGACCCCCTACTCTGCACCCCTGTGTCCCCTGCCCATCTCCCTGATGACATGCCCCAAACCCCCAGTCCCCCCCAAATCCCTGCTCCAGCCCACCAAAGCATCCCATGCCCTCACCTTGAGTTCACACCCCAGCCCTGGATTATCCCACCTTTGCAGGGACAAACCCCAGGCGAGGCAGGTCCCTCCTGCCCCATTGTCCCTACAGACTGGCCCCCTCAAAACCACGTACCTGGAGCAGCATGGCCCCTGCCTGGGCTCCCCCACCCTTCCCTTCCCACTTGGCTCAGTGTGTGGGGGGGTGTCCATCTCCAAGCCCCCCAGGCCAGTCCTGCTGCATCCCTCACACACACCCCTGCCATAGACCCAGCCCATGCACCCCTTGCCCATCCACACCACAGTAAATTATTCCACCTGTGTCCAGTTCCCTGTGGTTCATGGGCAACCGCCCCTTGGGGCTCCCTCAGGGACTCCAGGAAGGATGGGAGGGGGGTCCCAGTTCTCCCACTGGGAGGGGCAGCAGGGTCACCCTGGCTCTAGCCCTGCTCCAGGTGCCGTGCCCAGAGCCCAGATGAGGTTCCCAGTGGTCAGAGGCGGTCTCAGAGACTCAGGCATCACTGTCACTTCAGGGAGCCTGGGAGGGTGGTGAGATGAGGAGGAGGGAGGGGGGAGGCAGGGGCATCACTACTGCTGGAGCCCCACAGCTGGCTCTGGGGGTATTTGCCAGAGAAGTTTCTCCCGCCATCACCCCTAGGGACAGATCCACAGGCTGGGAGTTGAAGGCACATGTGAAAAGCCCAGCACCCAGCACAGCAGGGGGCAGATCCTGGACCAGGCAACCTCCATCCCTGGGCACCCCATCTCCGCACCACCCGAAAGCCCTGCCTGCAGCTCCCAGCCAGCCCCGCTCAGCTGCTAGACCTCTCCACCCCACAGCCTCCAGTCTCCTCCCAAAAGGTTGCCCGCAGCCACCCACCTGCCACAGCCCGGACCCCCCTGAGCAGCACTGGGACGGGGCAGCCCTCAGTTTGGCCCCTCTGACAGCACCAGGATGCTGCCCCTTAGCTCAGCTCCCCCAGCCCCAGAGCAGGGGCTGCCTCTGCCCCAGCAGCCCCCCAGTCCCGGGCCGCCCGTCTGCACCAATCCCACTCCAGTCCTGTTTACCCAGTGCATTCTTGCACCCCCACGTCCTGCCAGGCAATGGAGACACAAAGGCGGCCGCCAGGATATTTACCCAGCTCCTGGCTGCCTGACACTGCGGCAAGAGGGGAATTGAGGCTGCGGGACGCCTGTGCTGACAAGGCCACTGGGCACCTGCCCCACACCAGGGTGATCCCCACTCACTCTGCCCCCCCTCACACCAGGGGCAGGCGGGTACTGCCCCCACCCTCCACCCTGGCCAATGTGGAAAAACACTGGGGAAAACAATCAAATA